AATATTTGATACTACTAATTCTCAATCAACAAAAACAAAAGTCCAGTGATTAGATCGATAAACTCGTATTTACACGTCTAAAAAACTCAAGTTTACTTGTTCTTATGATTTTTGACAAATCAAGTAAGCTTTAATTTCTTTCATCTCTTACATTATCCATTTTTTAATAACTATTAAAAGATTAGTTTCACCGCGGCTTAATATCGTTTGAAAAACGATTAAAATCAAAAAAGTACTAAACAGTTGTTTACATCTTGTTTCAAATTGTTCGGCGAATGGGATCCTAAACCTGACACCTAATCAGTTATTGAACTCAAATAGATTTCATTCTTCATTTGAATTCATGTGAAAGAGAGCGATCCTTAGTTAATTTCATTCATAGATTAATACTTTGATTCTCAATATGGTTTACTCTTGGGAACTATAAGAAATCTTTGACAAAGATTTTACACAAGAATTTAGTCTTTTGAAACCTAAACAGTATTATACAAAGGATCCAGATTTATATTTCCGAAGTTTTGTAGAGAAAGTCAGAAACTGTGACCGATAGAAAAACTCTTGAATTATTTTTATGACATATAAAGTGCTTTTACTTCCTTTTATTGTGTTACTTATCTGATCAAATATTTACTGAATATGATCGTAAAGTGCTTAGTTTTAGTGTAGTGAACGATCACCAATTTACTGTTTAATGGAAAATCACATAGTGGTTTAGCAAAGTGTGAAAACCATTCATTAAATACATCATTTGCACATTTTCGAATTGTACCTTACAAGCTTCATTCTTCCTTCATTCCTGTTGTTATCTTGACTGTTTTCAGTCTCCTCTTTTCGCTTCATTTCAATCAACTCAATCCTCTGCTCGCAGACATTCCAATTTAGATTAATGCTACATATTACTTATATCTGCCAATATAAGTAACATACACCAAATTAGAACCAAATTGTTGAGTCATTTTTGACACGTGAACTTTTATAAAAAGTTCCTCTATGTTCCATGGAAATCAGAGAACCCAAAATCTTTCCTGACTAACAAGTATCCTAAATCTCAGAATCAAGGTATAATTTCAAAGAGCCAGCAAACTAAAAGTGGATGCCCCTAGCAGTGCTTCATATCAGAAGGAGCAAAATGTATACTCTTATCTATTGATTAAGTGGTCAATGTCGCAATTTCGAGTAACAGATTTGATTATTGGTTAGAATGTCATCAAAATGAAACACTTTACATAAATTCTATTAATAACTAATATTTAGAACGTATTACTTAAAATAAGACTACTGATAAGTCTGATAAGTATGAGATTATATGATGTAAGTAAAATTACATAGTAGTGGGATTTATTTAATAAGTCCATTGAATATAAAGTCAATATTAATTATGAGTCTTAATATCTAATCTAACATTTAGTCACATTTGTGACTGAACTTGTCAGATATGCAATAATGTCATCATAAACTTAGCTCAAGTAAAAACATTCACACTTGGAATTATCTATGTTACCCTCTCTTTATATTTTACGTAACTATGAATTATTCAGTAAATACTGATGTGACTTATTTTTATAGTCTAACTTACATGAATTCAGTTTTATTTTCCTTTATCCAATAAAACAAAAATTATATTAGAATAGAATTTAGCAGAATTTTAGCAAAACATCTGTGCTCTATTTTCCGTATCATTTTTTAGTGCAAACTACCAATTCTACATTCTTCTCCTGTAATGTATTCAGTTTATTGTATTACTCTATAAAGTACTTTTAGTGGAAAAAAAGTCGTAAGAACTTGGATCAACTGACAGTATTTATAGTGACTATTGATCACGATGCTTCAATAAAGTTGAACTTTAAATTTTAAAATAAAATCTGTTAAAATGTTATATATAACTACTGAATGTTGAATCCTAGTCTGTTATACAGTTCAGTAACAATAAAATGATACAATTCTACCCTATGAAAATGATTCACTTATTTTCTTTAATTGATCGTGCAAATGATAACTGTTAATTGCATAATTTAAAAGTCATTGCATATAGTTAGTTGTTAATATAAGAAAAATAAACTCCACAACCCCTATACTGATAATTATCATGTGCTCACTAGTGACTAGCTTCGTGAGGAAATTCTCGAAGTTTCAGTAAGAAGTCGTGGCCAGTGGAGCTAATCCGTGTCGGGTGGAGACAGGTATCTACCTCAGTACAATGAAAAATGGTCGCGCAATTCGTGGATTGGTTGATGTTAGACACTAACACGATTAAATGCCGGCTTAGCGGTAGGTTAAGCGTTCGCGCGCGAGACTGAAGGCTCTGGGTTCGAATCCCTTGAGCGGGGTCGTGGATGCGCATTGGTGAGAAGTCCCAAAATAAGACGAAACGGCCTTCCAGTGCTTCCAGGTTTCCTATGGTGGTTTAACATCAATCGGTTTATGATCTCAATAAAGAACACAAGAAAATATTAGTCAATTATGTTTAAGTGCTAAAGTTTACTTCTAAATACTTATTGATACTATTTTTTGCACCGTACAATAACTGAGATGGTTAGACCAGTTGAGTCCAACAATGTCATGTGTGGGAAATTCACCCACCGATGACATTGAAAGGCTGGTGCATTTTACAACAAATTAAACGAAGTTACGCATGTAAACCCTTGCCTGATAACCCAGTGGTCTAGAAGCTAGATACTTACTACGAGACATTAAAGTATTGGGTTAGATTCCTTGTAGTGTTACAGTTGCGTATACGTGAGAATTTCCATATCAGGATGAAACAACTATCCAGTAGCTCCTGGTTTTCACTGTTTATCTAACTCAGTCTAATATATGTAGTGTCGTTTAATATGTTAAGTCCACATAAATTATTCTAGAATCTGGACAAGCTAATTTATTCAATCTTCTTAAGTCATATTTTGACCTTGTTAATTATCCTCTTATCAACCCTGACTATATTTATATGAGCCTATATATGCGTGTACATCTTATCCTACTCATCACATGTCTGTAGCGTATTTTTGTGTAACTATAAATATTGATTAACGCTTGGTTAAATAGAGTTGGCTGACACGCCTTCTCTACCGCTCGTCGTTACGCTTTGCTCTCTCCTCTTCGCATTATTCCTCTGATTGTTTGTTCAAATCAATAAGTGTACAAAGTATAGGTATTCAAATATTCATTCTCATATTTACATTATTTAATTCGTTATTCACTAACGCGGATTAAGTCGATAATTTATACGAGGATCGACGATATATATATATATATATATCAATAAGAGTCGTATCACCTAATTGGAGACAGATCCCGAGCCAAAAAAGTTGTGAGCCCGTCGACAACATCGTCCGATCTAATTGACTTCAACATGAAGGGCCCCATTAAGTGTGTGTTGTAAACTATAAAGTTCTTCAATCTTTACAATTCCATTTTGGTAATAAACGTCCACCAATCTTTTGGAATAACAATTATTAAAGGAACACGGAATTCAACAATAAAACTATTATCCAGTGAATACTTCCTAAAACTTGTGCGTTTCTAAGAAAACATGATATTTCAAGCCAAAATTCACATGAAGTAGTATAAACAAAAAAAAATAATCATAGTAATAGCTAATTTAATCTCTGTAATCTTGTTTTATTAACTCGTATTGATAGCAAAATATTGAAAATAAGATTGAAAATAATACTTTTTATTCATACATCTATATTTCAATATGATGAAAATTTGCGAGTCGTCCAAAAAATACTCCACTATGTACTACTTACTTAAAACAGCATTTAGTAATATATATCTATATTCTAAATAACCATTGAATGAATGTCAATTTTCAGTCATGATAAGGGTTGATACACATATACAAAACCCCCTTCTGATAATACTCATCATATGGTCATTGGTGACTGGCTTCAAGAGGTTTTTCCTAGAGTTCTAGTGAGAAGCAGTGACCAGTGGAGTTCAACCTGGTCTGTTATGAGATAGTAACTCACTGAAGAATGTGGTGGACGATGGCCCAATTTCGTGGATTAGTTGAAGTTAGACATTAACACCGTAGGATTCCGGCTCAGTGGTCTAGATGCTAAGTGCTCGAGCGCAAGAACTATGGGTCCTGTGTTCGAATCTTTAGGGTTGGGATCGTGGATGCTCACTGTCAAGGAGTCCCATATTAGGAGGAAACGGCCGTCCAGTTCTTCCAGGTTTTCCATGGTGATCTAGTTTTAATTGACTCATGAATTCAACTAGTTAAATATATGTGTTTGATTGTTTCGTGATCTGCCTATTTAAAGTAATCTACTGTATTACAAATATTCTTACAATAACAAAGTGAATGATGCAGTTGAGATAATATTTAAGATTAACCAGATATAAAGTAAGCCTTTAATAATATGAGCTTATACTATAACCAATGGATAAAACTACATAAAAAATGACGTTTAATGAGTATTTAATTAACGAAAACACAGGTGGGGATAACCCAATGTGCTGTAACACAAAATTACTGTGTATCTTCATGATATATAAGAACCAAACATAAAATACTTCGTTTCCAGTTATTCCATCAATTGTCTCAAACTTCATTGTTCCTTCATCGCCATAACAATTACTCTCTGTTCCTGTTCTCATCGATTCGATCTTCCCAACCTTATGCTGCTAGGAATTCCACTTCTGACTGGCGCTATATACTACTCATGTCGACATAAGTAGAATAGACCACGGTATGCTTAATAATAACAGTGATCATATATTCAACGTTCACAGAATCTCACTAAAGGAATGAGATATAATTACTGGCATAAGCACTTCTGAATTATTATCAGAGATGATTATCATTGGAATGTGTAAATTATCAGTGTAATTCTATTCGAAAGATGGATTGTGGCAAATTTCGACAATCCCTATACTGATGATTCTTTAATATGGACAAAAGCACATTAATTTGACGTTGTTATGTTGGAGAATATTTTTTAATTAATGACTTCACTCACATTTTTCATACTTTTCAGACGGACTTTATCTATATGTTGGAAGAAATTAAAGATTCTACTGATGAAAAAGAGCAATCACAACCTGTTATATCAATTAGTAGAGAAGCGATGGAAAAAGCGATAGCTGCTTTCCGTAAGTTTGTATGAAAATTATTTATGCAAAAATTAAACAGGTTGGAGTGTTATAAACAGATTATTTGGAGAAATGTTTACCAATCCATTAGTAGTTTCAATTAACAATGCAAATCATGAAACACTGGACACCTGTTTCATCATGGTACGGGACCCTTTAGTGATAAACATTCACGATCTCACCCTAAGGGCTCGAACCCAGGATCGTCAACTTTGCGCAAGAAACCTTAACCTTCAGACCACTGATTGATCGTGAATCGCACTGCTAAGAATTCCCGCACTAGGACGGAATAGCTTTCTAGTGCTTTCTGGTCTTCAATGATGGTCTAGATAAGATTGCTTCGTAATTTAAACTATTGGAAATTCTGCAATCTCCACAAAACCCTGCACTGATAATAATCCAATAATAATATTCAACTGTTAAAATTGCTACAATCGTCACAAATCCCCATTATGATAGTAATATTTTGTTAAAATGATTTTCATAACTATGGCTTAACAATGAAGTAGAATAACGTAGAAAAAGACTAAGTGAAGAAATGCTTTATTTTTATTTTTTACAACTCTATACTAATATATATGCTAAACAAGTTAAAACTGATATCAGTCAATTAATATTACGTAATAATATTACAAATTCAAAAATATTTATGAAAATAAATACGAATTAATTACATGTTAATCAAGAGATTAATTGTATGTAGTGATTAATATTCAGAGATAATAATGAACAAATGAATGAATCAAAACATCTAGTTAAAGAATCGACAAAGTACATGACACCTAGTATGAGAACTGGTGAAATAGTTCGTTCCGAGGTCGAACATCAATCATAGTGACGTCAGAATGGAGAGAATCGTTTGACAATCAGGTATACGCACAACAAAAAGAGAAAATATAAAGATTCTGGGAGTGAAGAATGGCAGGGGTATATTACGAAAATACTATTTTATTACCATAAGAAAGTAATCATTTGTCACTCCCTTCAGTATTAGCTATGTTGACAGCTAAACTGAAGAGAAAGGTTGTACAAGTTTCTAATGAAATTTATCGGTCTAGTTTATGAAGATCAATATCAATCAATCTATTAAACTGTTTTATTTTATTTTGTCCGAGTGGAAACTTGGTTTAATTAGATTATACGATTGAACTATCGTAATATGATGAGTTATTAAACATAATCCCAAACAAGAATAGTAGTTATTTATTTGAGGAAGCTATTAAAAGATGAATATGAACAGTATAATTAAACCTAAGAATTAATTTGAAGCAGGTTGTTCATTGTTTCAAAGACTACGTAATAACTCGTAAACGTTTTGGAAATTCTTACTGATTGATCAGGTAAAAACAGTAGTTATGTGGAGAATAGTGAGTTTAAAATTGTCCATATTTATGTACAAATAAAAAGATGACAAATCTGCATTTAAAAGACAATAAGTGGCCAACTATAGATCCCACTGGCTTACCATTTAAGTGTTAGAAAAAAACCGAAGACTCATAAGTGACAGCTGTATTATTCTTTTTTCTGAATACAAAGATTCACTATAATAAAGCGAATTATTATGAGTTTCATTGAAATCATATTAGACTGCATTTATATTGATTCATGATTTCAATGAAATTCAGCAATCTCTACAATTCCATACTGATGATAATTCTTAAGAATTCGACCGCACTCAGTACATTTATAAGTAAACGATGCAGAAAACTAGATGGATCATGATAAATCAGTCGAAAAGCTTTGCTGAAGTCAATCTAATATCCGTTATAATATCAAATACGAAAATATGGCGCATTTGGATGCTCTTCTTTAAATCATTCTAACTATAACAGATAATTTTAAGCAATTTTACCTTATTGTACTCTGAACACATTTCGCCCTATGATATATTCTTCATTCGGATAGAATGAAATTCACTTGTAAATGTTTTAAATATGAATGCACAGTATATTGAGGAAACTGTTCAAGGAGCCCATACATAATCTTTTCAAATCCTTAGGTATATATATTGCATTTTTCTAAAATTTCAATCTATTTTTTGTTGTTTTTTATTTGAAGCACAAAGTAAACTTAACAGAACAACTACAAATGCATCTTTCCTCGGAATTCCACAACGCAATGTGTAAGTTACGTAGATAATATATTTCTATTAATAATGTAAGATAATTATTTTCTTAAAAACCTTCTATAACAATGATGTGTTTACTTCCCAACTCAGTGGCCTAGAGGTTAAGCTTTCGCGTGCGAGACCAAGGGCCCTGTGTTTGTATTTTGGTTGTGCGATCGTGGGTGCACACTGCTGAAGAGTCCCATACCGGGATGAGAAGACCGTCCATTGCTTTGAGGTTGTCCGTTTTTATCGTTCCGTGGTGTCGATGAAATTCAATAATTTACACAACCCCATAATGATGACAGTAAATTGTTGGAAATGAACCTAATTATTTTTCAGACATATAGTATTTTGAGTAAAGAATGTAGAGAAATTGGCATGTAAGATTTGGTTAAACTCTTTACTTATTATGTCAAGCATCGAATCACCAAACACTTTACGGACGAATCAAAGTATCCACCACTCAATGAGTGGTTATGATTTATACTATAATTTTCAAGTGCTTTTCGTTTTTAAATTTTATTATTCAGGACGGCATTGATCAATCTCTGTTGGTGTACAAACTCAGTGAGTTTATTAGCACTGGAACATATATATATATATATATATATATATATATATATATATATTCACTGTCAGTCTTTTCACTCAAGTAGCCGGTCGGAGTCGTTACTAGGAAGATTACTTATCAATATCGTATCTCAAGCACCACAAGTCATAACTGAAAATTTTTGCATAAGTGGACTGTGTTGATCTATACTATTTATCTCACTAAGACAGAATATTTCATTAATGAAGAGTATGTTGAAGAGCTGATCAAATAAATCCTTTAGTTACATTTCTGTGATTTAAAGAGATTGCCAGGATGATATATTTACTGGCTCCCGAGGAATCAAGCTGATAACTAAAGTCACATTTCCAAGTAGTCAGACAGAATACCCTAAACGATAAGTTATGTGACATTTATCAAAATTTTTGACAATGGTACAGATGCACCAATTCTTAATTTTTGTTTAGATCCTAATTTTCTTAATTATTGCAAAGAAGCTATCCATTCTACACAACCACATTTTTTCGATTAGGATCTCTTATGCATAATCTTTTCTATTATACCCAATACTGTTACCACATATACTAATCTAGCATCTTATTATAATTATGTGTTGTGACACCTTCAACCAAATGCACATAGGTGCTAGGTACTACGATACTGTATAACTGATTTATTGAAGCTATAAATTTTAAAGTGAATAAATTTTCACAAGTAATAGGATCCAGAAAGAATTCTTTATCTTATTTACAACTCATCATGTTCATGTCCTTGCTTCTCAGTGTTGATGCTTACACTAAGACTGAACCCAGTTCATTTCACTTCAAATGCCTACGTGTTATCCGACGATATACGAAGTCTAGACAATCACTAACTTATCCAGTGGGTACCATTTTATCTTTAGGATGCTTTTTGTTCGTTAATTGAAATCGCTGAATAAAATTTCATGAATGCAAATCTAACTTCAATATTTTTATTTCTTTTCTTTTTTCTGTACAATATTGCATAATATAATAGACGATCAGATTCAGATATCAGTGTATCAGTTGTAGAAAAACTACGTACACTTCGTACAAAATTTACAGAACGTACAGAATTGATAAAAGCCAAAGAAATTGAGAAAGTCGAAATTAGTGAAAGTGAATCTGATGAAAAAGAAACTTGTAAGTTCAGAATTAGATTTCAATAATTTTACTTAAAGTTAATTTATATTGATGAAATACTGATACAATGTAGCATCTTCCAGATGGACTTGTTCACAATTGCAGGATAGTTCTAGTCATAAACTTTTATGAACGCAGTTTAAAATAATTGTATTCCATATTTCAAGGTCATATGTACTCATTTAAAGTTTTTTATTGGTTACTTAAATTGACTATTTGAGATTGTTACACTTACTTGGATTTGGATGTAACACAATTCATAGATATTGATCACTTAAAACATACTATACAGCCAGTTGAAAATTTTACTTCTAATGAAATTAAAATATCAAATAATTTTCCATATGACCTTGTAAGTGTTCGTAGTTCCCTGTTACTGATGTCGATGTATACACCAGATCACCATTTTATGATGTACGTACATCTGAATAGGTTTGCCAAGATATTGCTACATTAGTAGCAAACTTCAATAAAGTTAGGATGCAGGTAAATGCAGATGATGAATCCTAAATAAAATGAAACCTCCAATCTGAATTCCATAATTTGTCAAAACACAACTTAACTGAAACTCTACAGTGATTCTGTAATTAATATTTTGGAGTTCCAGCTAATTGTACAGATACCTCTGAAACTCTACAGACCATTTTCTAAGAATGTATTTTGGTAAAAACAATTATATGCTCATTGGGAATAAAATTTGAGTGGAGTTCCTGACGTTTTGTTGAAGTGCTATGATCAGTAGAATTCACTGAGGTGAAATGTGAGAAAGCTGTTTAAAACAGTGGACGAAAGTTGAATAATATCTCCAAATAGGCGGTCAGATAATTAAGTAACTTCAAAAAGAACTTCTCACCACAACTTTTTGGGTTCGTTCACTGTAGAGATTTCAGTAAATATTGTTGAGAGGTTCGTCGTTGAGATAAATCAGACATTCAGTGCTAATCAGTCTCCAATAGTTGTCTAGCAATAGTCAATTCATGAAGCAAGCTACAAAATGGATTTAACACCTTAGCATATTACATTAAGCTTTTAACTTATAGTTTACACAATTCAATCAACATAGCTTGGTTATTCTCAATTTTAGTGTAAGGATTTTGTGTAAGTCCTAACACGAAGTGATCTTAGTTAGATAATTGGTGATCAGTCGAGTTCAACTAAATCGGATTTCAAACAGTTCCTCACTATTTCCCTAAAAGTATGGTTCACAATATCTCGAGCTAATTGATGTGATAAAATCTAAACCATTTGATACACCGTCAGTGGTTTGAAGGTAAAGTTCAATACGGCAGATCCTGAGTTTGATAAATGGTAGGGTCATCGATGCACATTGATGGACAGTTCAATACTATGGGGGAACTGCTGTCCAGTACATCTTGGTTCTCAATGGCTGTTTTACTAAGTTTAGTTCATTATATAAATTATCCAATATTATTAATTTTATTAATTCAGTAATCTTTCTTGTGGAAAATTCTGTCATGACTCAATCCTAATGCTCTTTCATTAATATTTTCTTTTTTAAAATCAATAATAATATAACTAATTATAGGTACAGATCCAACAAAATCCGATGAAAACGAACTTCAGTTAGGTGGAGAATTCAAAACAACAGAAATTCAAAAAGAAAAATCAGTTGGATGGTGGAAAAGATATCCTAATCGAAAATTAATAATACGTCAACCTCTATGTTTAACATGTTTACCATCAAGCAGAAAATATTTTATATCAAAACCTAATTTGCCATGTTTCAGTATACAAAATCCAGAGGATAATGAGAAGCGAAGACAAGAGGAAGTTAAAGTAACTAAAGCATCAGAACAAGAAACAGAACAGCGTATGTGTATATATTAATTACATACTAATATATATAATAAATACAGAATTAGATTCATTTGTTTGCACATGTTAATGGCCGCTATGACTGAGTAGCTAAGTAGATAATGTAATGGAGTTGGAAGTGAACTGTAATAAGTTTCGAGTCTCGAGGTGAACAACTATGGAATGCAAACGAGTTCCACATAAGACGAAACGCATATCCTAGACCTGATTGCTAGCTACTATCTGTTTATGCTTACAAAATAAGATTGTCATTTATATGTTAGTAATGTAAAGACTGCTATTAGATTATCATCTCCCAAACAGTCGGTTCAAAATTCATTACTTTGAAAAAATGAGATGTATTGAATGGATATATAACTTTACACTTTTATGAAACAATTTGGAACAGTAGTTGCTTATGTCGACTTTCGCATTTTTTCGGGTGGTTGATTTCGTTGAGAATCTTTCAATGTATATTTGAAAATAATAACACCAATATAAACATTTTAGAAGTGTGAAGCATTAAAAGTTCTCACCGGACGTCTAACGGTTGGTTTTTCGACATGACATCAGTTTTCAGTAATAAGGTCAAAAGGCCAGATTTCTTATTCACGTTTCTGCAAAGATTCACTCATGTCTTCTATTTATTAAGCAAACCTGGCGTTGCTAAATATTGTTGTAGAGGATGCGGTGCAAAAAATAAGATTTTAAATATAAACAATTTGATATCGGTTTTCATCATATAAAATAAACAAATTAGATAAGTTAATATCAGAATCGTCATTTCGTATGTTATATTCTTGTTCAAGATCGACATTCAACCTGCTATAAGATAACTGAAAAAAGTTAAAATATTTCAAAATGAGAGTTCAGAAAACATTCTGGAGATCTTGGTTTCTAGCCTTTGAACTAGTCTTAGAATGTCAATTTCACATTTCAAACGAGGGTCTAGTGCTCTAACTCTATATCGAATGTATTGTCTGTTGTATTATGTTCCTATCGTATTCACATTTAAGTTCTGAAAGCCTAAATAGGAGTCATAGAGCTAACGCTTTGGTACATATCTGAGGCAGTTACTTGCTATTGTGAATGTTGCATTATGAAGAAGGTCACGATTCTTTGAATTACAGGTTGTGTTGTGCATCATATAATGTCAATTTTGAATTTTGGTTTATGTTATCAGTAATGTTTACACTGAATGATTACTAAATAACAACCAGTGTTTTATTTGTCTGATTTCCAGATCTAATAGAGTATTTTAGACTAGATTGCAATGTGATTACTAGTCTAGTTGGCTCTGTACAGAGTGCATTGTGTTTGAGTATTAGATGGTTAGCAGTAGACATACATATGATGACCTAACATGCAGTGAAAATCATGTCTAGTTCGTAATATTAAGTACGTTATAATACGCATATTTGCAAATCGTCCATATTTCATCAACTGTACCGGTTAACAAAGGTGTTACTTACTTACTTACCTACGCCTGCAACCCCTTGTTGAGGACCATAGGCCGTCCACCAGCATTTTCCATCCAACCCTGCCCTGGAAAATCCTTTCCAGTTATTTCCAATTTCCATTAATTCTTTTGATGTCTGTTTCTGATTCTCGACGCAATATGTTCTTTGGTCTTCCTCTTTTCTGTTTCCCTTCAGGATTCTAAAATAGCGGAATAATTATTAATGTTGACTTAAAAAAAGCATGTACCATATTTACATCTTTGCTTATCATATTTAACAGAGCTAGTCACTAATTCAGTAAAGTCTAGGAAACATCAATTATATTACGAATTTCCTTATTTGTAACGTGCGAAAACAAACATTATCAACTCTATGATTTACTAAAAACTACTTCAATCAATCACTATAACTCTTTTGTCTAATGTTTAGTGGTGGCTAACTTTAAAATGAATTTCCATCATTCTAAGGAAAATTTGCAACTGGTGGAATTCATTCGTGTATTGAGTAAGTTAGTCACCCACCAATGATTTGAATGATATTATTCTATGTTGCAGTTTGTTTGGTTTCAATATCAAACGCTTATCAAATAACCTGAAGACATTGAGTATAATCTTTGATAAGGTCTTTGATTTCCATTACCTAGGAGTTCCACTCTAAAATGAAATGCTTCTCATTAGCTTCTCAATGGATATAACTCTATTATAAAATTAACTGCAATTTATCTCCTTAAAACCCTCAAATAAGCATTGACTAAATATTTAAAAAAGTTTTATACAATTAGAACTCCGAGATATATTATTGCAGAAATTTTATAAAAATGCATGTTACTTCTTACAAATTAGTACAACAGAGTAAAAATACTTTCAGAACAATAATCACTATGTTGAGATAAGATGGTGGTTGAAGGTAGTCGATATGAAACCATGGACCTACGTTTTGTGCTACATGGCACTCGTCAGCAAGGTGTAACTGTGATCTTGGGGGAACTGATGCTCATTGAAGGATTCGATCCTACGTCACCCAGCTTCATGGTCAAAGACGTTGCCACTGAGCTATCCAGGACACGACTGAACTCCTGTAGGACTGAGATGTATTTACAATTGATTGATCACTGGTTGGTGACCAATGTCATATATGTCAGTCCCTCTTAGTGCAGATCGAATCCTATCGACCAAGTTTCAATGTGACTCGACATTGCAGTCAGTCGCGGCCCGTATAGCCCAGTGGTAACGTCTGTGAATGGGAAGCTCGGTGACACAGGATCGAATCCGTCAATGAGCATCAGTTCCCCCAAGATCACAGTTACACCTTGCTGACGAGTGCCATGTAGCACAAAACGTAGGTCCATGGTTTCATATCGACTACCTTCAACCACCATCTTATCTCAACATTGTGCACACTATGTCGAGTCACCTAGACTGGTGACCACATTGCAATTCGGTCGATAGGATTCGATCTTCACTTAGAGGAACCTAACATACATGACATTGATCATCATCCAGTGATAAATCAACTGTGAATAATCACTATCGTTTCAAATTGTCTGATTTTTGTTACTTGATCGCTTAATTAATCCCCTTATAATTTGCAATCATGATTTTCTTTTTCTATAATTAACTTATTATACTTGATAAAAAAGAATCCTGAATGATAAAAAGGTTTAATTTTAATTCAAGATCCTTCCTTAACAGTAAACAATTGGATGAGTGTAAGTAATGATTTAAATTGTAAGGTAATTTTGTTACTCAACAAGAATAAATAGAAGATATCAATAGAATTTCAGTAGATAGTAAACAACCATATATATTCAGTATAACACTAAAGAGTAAAGAAATTTACTATTTATTCACAAATAATTTGTATTTAAACCATAGAAATGTGACTTAAGTTGCATAATATTGTTAGTAGGAGTAGTAGTAGTATATTGTGTAACTCATTAAGTAATATACTTTAAGAAAGATTTATGAATGATGAATGCTTGTCTTAAAGTAATTCTATAAGAATAATCAATTGTTCAACTCTGTTATCATTTCTGAAGAGATTAATTCAAGTATTAATATTTATTTTCTATTGATGTTATGAACTTTTGAATCTCAATTCTCTGTCTTTTAAATAAGTACTATTTCTATTGGTAACAGAACTTAACAAGTAAATAGTCATTCATTTCAATTTTATTCTATTAATTAAACATTAATAGGTGATTTGGTGTATAAATAATAACAGATAAGAATTTTAATAATGTTTAACAAGTTAATTCATCATTTAATCATTTCTAAATGACTCATTAGTTATAACTCAGTTATTTTTGTTAGAGATTCCATGTGCACCTTGTCTTCTTCATGAATAAAATGGAAGCTATCTAAAATGTAATAATCAAAAATAAATAAATAATGTAAAATATTACTATTACATTGGTATATACTACTGATATCAACAGATTTTAGTATTATATTTCACCAACAGAAAGTGAAATACCTGAAGATAGAAGGTTGAGAAGATTGAAGAAACGAAAACGAAAACAAATAGAGATTGATATGGAAATGAAGGAATAGTGAAGCCTGAGACATTTTTATAAATAAACTATTTACTGTATGATTCACAAATTTTACTAAGCTATTCTTTATTCTCGTTCACTAAATCACTGCAAAGTATTTATATTATCGGATATTACAAAAATCATTACTTACATTTCAGTAGATACCTTATTCTGATCTGTCATTATTGAAAAGAAAGATTATTGATTAATTTTTAATTAACTTTATAGCTGAAATTATTGGACAAGTATGCGTCAAACTTAAAGAAATATCTATTCCTTTACCAGCATGGTTAGTAGGATTAAAAGATGTATTTAGTGCAACTATATCACCATATAGTAAGTTCAAAATGCATTATTTCCTATACTTTTGATGTTTTCTTTTTACTAATGCTGCTTGATATGTTTAAAAATCTTAAAGTCTTGATGATAAGATTTGTTTTCAGAGTTTTAATCCAAAAAAATGAACTAATATTATTTGAGTATCGACAGTCGTAAAACTTTTGGATTGAGATGTATTTACAATTGATTCATCACTGGGTGGTGATCAGTGTTATATATGTCAGGTCTTTCTAGGTGCAGATCAAATCCTATCGATCAAGTTGCAAAACATTTTTTCTATTTATCATATAAACTAATCAGTGAAGACAGATCACCCACGTTTTATGGATTCCTATTTTCTAGTTTTTTTTTCAGTTCTTTATATCTCTTAATGATAAATCATAGTTAAGGTAGTGGTTGGAAGTAGTCAATGGGAAACCTAGTTAAGTCTAGGTTTCGTGCTACTACTCGTCAACAAAGTGTATCTGTAATCTTGAAGGAACTAATGCTTCCTGATACATTTCATATCGTGTCATCTAGCTTCACGGACGGAGACTTTACCATTGGGTTGTTTTATCATCAAGTGACTTGACATAAATGACATTGATCATTACTCAGTAACAAATTAATAGTAAGGACAAATAATCTTTATATGTACCTCGCTACTTTGAATATCATTCGAAAATTCCCCAAAAATCTAATTATGCATGGATAAAATGCATTATATAAGTGTTTGTTGAATAACTGATCAATCTTGTGTTGGGAATACTTGATAATTCCTCGAAAATTATATGGAAACCAAGAAAATAGTGAAAAGACTTCACTTCGCATTAATATCAGAAGGGGTTTTTATGGATATTATAGTAATTTCAACAGTTGGGAGCATCGGACGTCTGTTTCGTCCTATTGTAGGACTTTTCAGCAGCGCCCATCCACGATCCTGCCTCATGGGATTCGAACTCATGACCTGCCGGATTGGCTGAAGTTAGACATTAACACCGTTGGATACCGGTCGGCTCAGTGGTCTAACGGTTAAGCGCTCGCGCGTGAGACTTATAGGTCCTCAGTTTGAATCTCGCGAGGCGACATCGTAGATGCGCAATGCCGAGGAGTCCCATACTAGGACGAAGCGGCCGTCCGATGCTCCCAGGTTTTCCATAGTGATCTAGCTTTAATTGACTCATGATCTCAACTATTGAAAATGTTTGGTATGTTGATATGGATAAGATAGATAATAATAAGTGGGATTCATTTATTAATTGACTGTAGTGCATTCACTTCGTATTTTTCTGACTGATTTATTTAGTGTTAGATAATTTTCATTTTCAAAATGAGCTTTTTTACACTACCAAAATAGTTTCTTAAAATTTCACTTATAATTGTTTTTGTTTTCTGTTGTTTTCTTCCCTCCTTCTATATATACACATGTATTATAGGTAATACTTATCTTCTGTGGTTAGGTTTCTTATTAATAGCAGTTTTATACAATTATATTACTATACCATTTCGTGAAGCATTCAATATATACGATGATGAAGATAACATGACATTATGGTATACATTGAATTCATTGATGGATACACTTTACTTATTGGATATTTTGTTATTAAAACCACGTATAGAATTTCTTGATCAAGGTATCACAAAAGTAGGTTATGTAATGTATAGTTATTTTTACATTGTGATTCTCTTTATTGTAGACGGATTTTAAATCATGTGCTTTGCATTATTTTAAAAGTTTACAATTTAAGGTAAGTTCAATGATTTTGATTTTGATGATGACAATGATGACTTTCTTACAAATGTACGGATTATTGATAAAATGTTTTGGTATAATATTTTTAACATTTGAAAATATTGACAGGAGTCGTCCCAGCAAAGTCTTCAATTCATCTTGACGGTGAGACTATAATTTGTGAGACAAAATTCAACCTCAAACCCTATTCTTTTGTTGTATATGATAGTCAGTCAATCAGCTACAACGTTGGACCAGGCACATATGTGCATCGGTCCAAGTTTCCATACCTCATTATCACGACAGGATGAACACCAAATTCATAGAAATAGTTAATTCAGTGGTGGTAATACATAAAAGAAAAATTGTGTATAAGAAGATAGTATAGGAAGATAGAATTAGTTCGTAGAAAGAAAGATATGAAACGATTTTATTCTCATGGTTTAAGGGAAGACAGAGAATCTATACACTTAAGTCATTGTGATGGATTCTGAACCATGTCATCTAGAGTCTTCAACCACTGGTTACGATCATCACACGGACCCCAACCATGTAGTCTGTATCCACCAACACGGCTCAGACCAGAAGTTAGTGACTTCCTAAGAACGGATCAGTAAAAATAGGTGCTGTAGTCACATAGGGTTTCTATTTAAACCTATATCAATCTCTTTCACTCTAGAATACTAACTCTTTATTAAAGAGTTAGTTATTCAGTTTTAGTTAAAAGTCAATCGAAAACTAGGGAGCACTAGAGCGCTAGTTTTTCATTGTATGTAACTCTAGTATTTTTGTCCGGTGTTTCTTGGTTTTTAGCAGTTGTTTAACTAAAATCAGTATGTGACGTAAATCATAATGTACTCCACAAACCCACGATTGAAATAACACCTAAATTTATTGTAATATTTGCACAGATAAAAAGTAGGTAGCCAAGCTTTTCAGGAAAATTATATTGTTTTGTTGGTAAGATTCTTGGCAAAATCTACTAGCTCTGAAAATTTTCGTGGATAAGTAAGTAGTTCCTAATTATTTCATCTCCGTTTGGGACATCATCAGTGCCTAATCATTGACATTTACAAATTGTTCAATATATCTTCAAATGCTTATTAGTAACATAAAAACAAAGATAAAAAATTAGAGCTTTGAATGAAAAGTGACTTAATAACAAATCGATTCGAAAGTCAGTGGCATATAATCTCGATGTACCAGACGTAAATACGGTATAGTTCGACTAAAACTAGTTAGAAATTATGCACACCATCCTATTGAGCACAATATCTTGATTTTTTTGTTTTTATCTTGCATTTAAACGAATAAATAATTCACATTCATTAAGTGATCGAATCCAATTAGCTTTGATTTTATCCTCTTAATTTAGATTGATATTATTTCAATCATACCGTTGGATTTATTCTCTTTGTTTTATAAAAAAGATATGGCACGTTTTCGTGTTTTTCGTTTGGTGAAAGTAAGTTAATATTGATGAAGTCAAACTGATATTAGATTAAATCACTAATTAAGTTGTGACCGGTATCGTAAGATGATGGGATACTATCGATTAAATATGAACTGTGCTCACTTTGTGGATTTGGTATTCAGTGACAGAAACTTATGCGAAGCATTTCAGGTATACAGAGAGCTATACTTAATCCGATTAGCTGAATGGGTAACACGTACTTGAACAAAACAAGAGTAATAAGATTTTCAGAATAAAATGAATTCATAGTTCACTTTTATCAGCCTCAAACAGTCTAAAGTTACAAAGAATAGTATAATTAAAAGCAGGGATTCAACATATTATATGATGTTTGAAACAAGATGGAAAATCATATAAACGAGAAAAGGACAAGAAATATGATAATAAACAGTGGATAATTTTAAAGACTACGTAATAAGTGAACCTTTTGGAATAGAAGAAAAATGAACTGACTATTTAGCGACTTTCCTTGATTTATAATCTATCCAGGTAATAAAAATGGCATAAATTTCAGAAAGGTGCTTTAGACTAGTATTATCATATATATCTTCACATAATGATTCCTTCAATACTGTTCAAACAATTAGCATGAATTTTTCCTCGCTTGTCAGCAATAGTTATTCATTAGGTATGTATATATGCGTTTACAGTTTATGCCATGGAAATCCTGCCCACTCTATTCACACGATAGGGATATATTTTACAAAGCGAGAGGACAAGAGAAAAAAATCCAGACTTAAACGTGGGTAGTGGTAACGGAGAGTTCAATGAGAGGAGTCGAAAAACTCTGATTTTGAACCACCGGCTATCATTGTACGATAGCTTTTAACGATGTTCCACTGCCGTGTAGACTAAACCTTTAAACTAGAGGCTTGAAGAGTAGCTTCTTGACCTCTTGAACAGTATCCCAGAGGACAAAATTCTATTTTGTATAGAATATTCTAATTATAGTGATCGGTTGTATTATATTTTATGTGAACTACATAAAAACATTTTACATACAAGCAAATTCTTCAAAAATTTATTTTCCTACCAAGATAAATGCATTTTGGGAAGCTTTCGAAAAATTAGACCAGCGCTTAAATGCTGGTTATGCAGTACGACTTGCACGAACTATCATATACATGATTTATATCATACATTTAGAGACTTGTGGTTATTATGCATTTAATCGATGGCAGGGTCTAGGCGAAACATCATGGACAATCCAACCAGGTCCAATTTCACCGTAAGTTTATTTTAAATTAAAAAGTTTTACATACATGACTAATGATAATAAAAATACTCAGTACTATATGTTTGATCCTCAGTATAAAATGTGCAACAAAAGAGTGAATTCATGCATTATGTTCATTCAGGGCTATAATCATATACAAATGTAACTCAGCCCGGAAAACGTGAAGAAAAATGTAAATATGCGTTAATCATTATAACTTGTAATGAAAAGCAATTAAAATCATACTGTGGTATTTAGCGCTCATCCATTAAATGAACGAAAAAAGCACCGAAAACGTCGGATAGGATATACTAAGTTAACACTGTAAACAGTAATGATGACCTAAGTCTTTAGTTAGCCGGTAAAAAGTCTAGGAAAATACATATTTGAACGTGTTTTCTTACATTGGTTATCTATCACTTATCGTCGCCCACTATATTTTTCGACCAGTTTTACGATATTTTAATTGCACACAAAAATTAAAGTATGATTCCTGGGCTAACTGAATTTGTACACCTAGAAAATAGGATGGACCAGAGGTTTGAACAGGCCTTCATGTCATAATTCTTTTCTCATAAGTATTTTTTAGAAAATATTTAAAACAAAAAGACTGAGACTAATTTCGACACTTTCCATATCTAATAGCCGTGCCTTACCCAATACTTTCAGTTATTTTTCTGTTCATTTATTAGGAGAGTACTGCATATAAGTGCAATGTACCCGGGTAACTTCATTTCAATCACCTTAAGCTATCGGAAAATATTTTCTGTGAACACTTTTTAGTAACATATCCTAACACGCCAGATTTGAAAAAAAAAGTAAATAAAGTGGAAGTTTGTCCTTGAAATGAAATCCGGTAGGATTATAATTTATGGACGACCTTTGAGCGTTGCTAAAGTAACTCTGAGAATATCCACCTACTAACTATGACCAAATGATAGTTATAAACCAGTATAAGGAATAAGAGTCATGATTTATCTTTGGTGGTTAGGGATAGATATTAAATTTAGGGTTTTCATCACGAACTGACATCAGCTAAAGTGCCGAGACGTTATTTAGCCTAATGGATGAAAAAAAATTTCGCGCTAGAATCCAAGACCTTTTATCTTATATTTAATTGATTCGTCCATAAATTATAGTCTCGCCTAAAATCCTCCTATAAGTAGTATAGTATTGAATCACTAAATGAATAGAAAAATACTAAATATTACAAATATATTATATACTGAAAGGCGAATTCATAAACATGTATCCTATTGCATTATATAAATATAAATTCTTAAAAATTAATAGGGAATTATAACCATCATCTATATTAACGCAGATTAGTTAAGGTCATTACAACATTATTCAATGACAAATTCTGATGTTATATTATTTATATTTGACTAGACTAGTTATTCCTATATATATATATATATATATATATATATATATATATATCATATGACAACAAAATAAACAACATAAATCAATGAAGTCACGTTATTTACTTGTTCACGTGTCCATTGATATGATTCTTGTTCTATATAAATCGATCATTTGATAAATATTCATTTCTTTTATTTATAATTATGTAATAAGCATTGATTTATCAATGATATAGTACAAAATTTGTAAATAATATAAAAAAAGTGCTTTATTTTACAGATCAATAAAATTTAAATAATAAATTTTAAAAAGTTATATGAATGTTGAAAATTAATCGAGTTAATTACAATTATTCACCAGTAGTTAAGATCATGAACTAATTGAATCTAGATCACCATGGAAAACCCGCAAGCACTGAAGAACTCCCCAAAAATTCTTCTGATACTAATTATTCAACGGTTAATGTACTCTGAAATGGTTACTATTTATTTAGTCTTATTCTATAGATATATGATGAGTGTATATATTTTAAATACTTCTTTTATCTAATTTGAAGCATAGTTTTTCATATCCTAAATTAATCATTTTTTAAAAAACTTTTCTTCAAATCAATCTTCAAAGTAAATAAACAATACATATTCAAAGTGGTAATTATATGAAATGTAGTACACAAAATATATCGAATTCGTTGGAGACTAAGTTGTAAGATAATACTTATTGAAAGACTTTCTCAATGATGGTATACTATTCAGTTTGAGTATTACTTTCATGATGTTATCACGAATTGAAACTACTCTTGGAATATGACGATTGCTCTTACATTGCCACTGTATACTTTAAACTTGTTGTGATATGGTCGTACAGAGTAGTATCTGAATATTTCAAACCGAATAATATAATAATATCTATGGTACTTTGGATTTGAACAGGTATTAACAGAAACCCTATGTATAGTGACCATTTTATTAATAGTTATTTATTCATTTGAATAGTTACAATCAAACAGAAAACGATATTAATCCCATTGGTTTTGTATGTTACATTTCAATTTTATTAAAACCCTTCCTATAATATTTCTTCTGGTATGAATTATATCAACAATATAAATCCAACTGTCTATCGTTATCTTAAAATGTACTACGAATTAAGATGAAGGGCGAGACTATAATTTATGGACGACCTGTGAATGAATCTCAAGTGACCTTGGGAAATGTTAGCCAATCAACGAACAGTAAGTATAGAGTAAAAATATATTATACAAAACCAAGGAAATAAAGTGGATACACTTCTTATACATGGTTCAAAAACTTGTCAAGTTTGGAAAAAGGTTCAGAGGTTCTAAAATCGTAATACATTCAGTAGAGGAAATCTTCCATATGGCTACGGAATAGTCGGCCTCTAGAACCATGATAAAGTCTCAAAAACTCTTTCAGCCCTTACCACATAGCTTCAGTATTGCTTGTGTGCACTCTGGTTGTTGAGTACACAAAATACCACTTGTGAATAACGACACGATGCACATAACCAAGCCTATGTAGAGTTTGTACGCTCTCCAATCATCCGTATATATTGTAGTACCTGGTTGCAGCCAGTGTTACTGGTGATTTTATTATCCAGTTCGCAATAATTGTTATAATTTGCCTTAGTTAGGAATTATATATAGGGTTTTCATCACGAACTGACATCATTTATAATGCCAGAAATATATTTAGCCAAATAGATGGAAGGCTTTCGCGTTAAAATCCGAGATCTGTTATTTTATACCTGACTGATTCGTCCACAAATTATAGTCCCGCCGTTTTATTTGCTATAGCCGCTCAATTATCATGTTTTGTACAAAATTCTCTGTGAACCGATCGTACGTTAGCATTAAGCACTGAAGTTGACGCCGTGACCTTGAAACCTATCAAACGCTTCTGAATGTCTCGTCCATAAATTAGAGTATCGCCAGATGAAGTGATCTTATGTATTTTATTGGCCCATTTGTAAATGCATCTAATTCGAATTGTACTTATGCCTTAAACTGTTACCAAATATTTTCATTTTCAATTTGTGATATAAGAAAATTTATTACGAAATGTGTCAGATAAAAGATTTATGTCAAGCATACTAATTAGCAGATAAATGAACGGTGAAAGAAACAAATGAATGTATCTTAAGATATATGGATTAATCAAGAAATTGATCAGAAAACTAATTAATAACAGATTATACAACTAAATAATTCATGGTCAAGATAAGTGAACACTTACATATACGTTCTCATATCTCGAAAATCTATGTTATTAATCAATCATCTGAGAATAAGATTAAAGTAGATGATAAGTTTAAAAAAATGACTTATGGATGCTTGCTGCTGAGAAGTCTCATACTAGGATGAAACAACCGTTCAGTGTTTCCATATTTTCCATGGTGGTCTAGCTTTAATTGATTCATGATCTCAACCATTAAAATTACTACAATATCCACAAAGCTGCTTTTGGTACATATTTATTTCAATAGTTGAAATCATGAGTCAATTGAAGCTAGGTCACCATGGAAAACCTGGGAGCATCGGACGGCCGCCTCGTCCTAGTATGGGACTCCTCAGTAGTGCGCATCCACGACCCCACCCCCGCGGGATTCGAACCTAGGACCCATAAGTCTCGCGCGCGAGCACTTAACCGTTAGACCACTGAGCCGACCGGCATCCAACGGTGTTAATGTCTAACTTCAACTAATCCACGAAATCGCGCCACCGTCACCATTCCAATACTAGGACGAAACAGCCGTCCAGTGCTTCCAGGTTTTCCATGATGGTCCAGTTTCAATTGATTCATGATTTCAACTATTGAAATTACTAAAATTTAAAAAAACCTTTCTGACATATTTACTCGTCAGGCATTTTACTAGTTCGAACAAAACAGATTTCTATACAGATGTACCATGAGGGACTACTAAGTACATAAGTACTATGTTAATTTTGGTATTATTTAGGTAATAATTTAACAAGGTATTTCTATGGTCAATAGTTTTCAGTGTAACTATTACATACATATGCATATTTAGAATATTTTGTAACTACTCATTTTGTAAACATTTTTCAATTTTAGATACGTCTATTCTTTCTATGTTTGTATGAAAACCGCAACTTCAATTGGTTCATTACCTGCAGCAACGAATAGTTCAGAATTTTTATTCATGACATGTTATTGGTTAAGTGGGATACTCGTATCGGCTATTCTGATTGGTCAGGTAAAGTGAAATAGGTTTAGACAAATAAGATATTCAATCAGTTTTGTAGTTTTATAAGATTTTGTAAAACACAATATCAATTAGATTAAACTATGCTACATAAAAGGACCATTCAAAATCAGAAATATTTCAAGCGAATATCTGTGACACTCGTAGTTATTAGTTGGGTACAGTGTTTAGAAAGTTTTCTCTTATACTACTTCTTTTTTGGATAATCAAATCAAATATCACTTCAAAGATCTGCAATCATAAAAAAGATTCTGTAAAATAATTCAAATTATTTTCATTAAGCTGAAGGAGTTTTTGTTTAAAGGAAAAGTTAAGCAATACAGCACAGGGTAATAAAGTGACTTTCGATTCAGGCAAAATCAAAAACTCAGATAAGCCCAAGAAAAGTAGATAACCATTTTAAATAACAATAGAAAAAGCGATTGAAACTGATCAAAGGATCATTCTTAAAACAACCTTTTCACCATTGTGAATGTATTCGTAGGTTTGTGGAAGATATAGTTGTGGTAATATCTCAAACCGCAAATTCAAGTGACAAGAGTTAAAATCCCGCAGATAGTACCAATTCCCTCTTGATCACAGGTATGCCGTACTGACAAGTACCTACTAACAAGAAACTTAAGTTCATGGTTTCCTGCTACCTATCTCCAACCATCTAATATCTTTTATTTTATTATCACCCATGAATATGCTGTTTAATCTAATGGGATAGAATATCATCCATATAATGTCTATTCATTAAACTTGAAATGACTAAATTTCCCATTAATCAACTTGTACTAAGTTAATGGTCTAGTTGTCCACTTAGCATACCATAGAATCCTTACTCTTTGATTACTATGACTACATCTGAAAATGAAAATAAAGGTCAATTATTTAGTTTACATTATCAATTTTTTTCTACCATAGAAAATGCATAACGAACATCTTTTTTGCAAATAACCTTGACATTTACATTGTAATTGAAACTACTATTAATCTAGGGGTTAAATTTGAATATTTATGTTTCTTCTGATTACAATAAATTTTATTTATTTCAATATCTTCAATTCTTTTTAATAAATAAATAAATAAATTCCGATCAAGTTCCTTAATTCTAAATTCCAATTAATGTAACGAATCAATAGACAAGTTTATGGTTAATATGATAGTTTACAATTATAACAAGTTAAATTTACGACTGTTAATGAAATAAAATGATTCATGTTAAAATAATTAGTACATATAGTAATGGCATATAGATATTCATTTTAATACTGAACCTTGTCAATTTTATTATATTTTAATAACAATCGTAAATTTAGATTATTTCGCTGTGTCGCTCAATTTCGTGGATTAGTTGAAGTTAGACATTAACACCGTTGGATGCCAGTCGGCTCAGTGGTCTAACGGTTAAGTGCTCGCGCGCGAGACTTATAGGTCCTAGGTTCGAATCCCGCGGGGGTGGGGTCGTGGATGCGCACTACTGAGGAGTCCCATACTAGGACGAGGCGGCCGTCCGATGCTCCCAGGTTTTCCATGGTGACCTAGCTTCAATTGACTCATGATTTCAACTATTGATATTTCGTTTGTATAGATTGTTTGAACTTTGTCACTGATGTTTAGGACTATATTATGTCAGTTCATCTTAGTATATGTATATTCTGTGCAAATCCCCTCGATATTGTCATTAAGCCACAAGCATTATATGCACTGTTAGATGATGGTCAACACGGGATCTAGGTTGCATATTTCGCTCTATTTTGGACTCATCAGCTGGATGTACCTGCGTGCTAGAGTTGATATTCGCTCCGTGACTCGAACCCAATACCTTTCACTTCAAAGCTGATGAGTTGCCAGTTGGACGAACTGCATGTCATGCATTCCACAGCTAGCCACCATCCAACTCTGCTCGTAAGTTCAAATTGTAATTGAGATATTTTCCTTGAACTGAACTATCCCTTTTCAGCCCTAATTAGAACCTCATTAGAATTTATTGAACAAAATACACCTTCATTTGGTTCAACTTTGTTGTAAAACTAAATGGAAAGAGATTGTGTACTCGCTTCATTCTTCATAGTCTAAATAAAACTTTAGTGCAGTTGTTTTCCTTCTCCTATACTTATTTCCTTCATCTTTTTCGTTGTAAAGATTCACAAGTTTTTATTCTTTAAGTCAAATCTGGACATTTTAATATTCTCAAGTGAAATTCAACTAACAAAAGTATAGAATTTTAGCTCATATACGTTTATATATTTACACGTATAGAATATTCGCTTTTAACATTTCTTGAGAATTGGATTCATGAACAAAGGGCAACCTCAGTCGCTACAATCATTCCGAAATTTTTAGAATCAGTTATTCCGTCCCAACACATGAACTACTGTACAATCAAAATGGATTGAATATCTATTGAATCTCATTTAGAGACTTTCACGTTATGCTTGTCGAAATGTAATTTTAGTGTTAAAAATTATTATTGGAAAGATTTAGGATTCCGGTATAACTGGAGGAAAAATAAAAATATTTTCCCCTTTCCACGTTATACAATAATATGACCAATAACTGAGATTTTACCACTAATCGACTGGATACCCGATCGGTACGATACACAAAACCCTGGTCACATTATACTGGATACACAATTCATGACCAATAATAGAGTATCAGTGTACACGCTAGATAATACTTTATTCAATAAAACTGCAAACAATCTACACTCAGTCAGTCTAGAATAAAAGACAGCAATAAAAAATAAATCACAAATTAAAAAACCGCTAATCCGTGTTTATCAGTTTAAGCTCAGTGAATAACTATCTTTATTTTACTAACCACATATCGAGTTCACAAATAAATTGTAAAAACAATACAATGATTTAAAAAAACACATTCATCTATATATTCTTCAACCATACATAAAAATGAACTCCAGCATATGGACGTTAGAAATGAACTGTTCAAACTGCAACTGACCTACTACGGGACTAAGATATTGACTATAAATTGATCACTAAGTAGTGAGAGATCAACTGTATGTGTATTAATAACCGGATACTATGAAAGTAGCTAGATTTCTATTAATAGTCATTAAATAACTTAGCCTGAACATTTATTCTTGAATCATTGGAATTTCCTGTTATGAAAGTTAAATTTTGTCAGTCCTATTATGAAAAACTTTTTTCGAAAATCTAAACTTTCACACATTAACCTAACAAATACAGGTTCTTCATGGAGCTATTTATTCACTGTGGTTGACTTCCTGTGCAGCAGGATTATCTATTTGACCTAGTAGTCTGAAATCTTAGGTGACAGTTGAACATAAGTTTCAAAATACAATTCATATTAAATATAGTGCTACAAAATTACCGGTTATTTTTTGATAACTACTTTAGTTAACGTAATCGATATAGTCAATAAAATATCCAGGGTTCAAATGGATCAAATCAATATTATTTACTTTATTATTCATATATATATATATACATTTTTTATCAAGGTCATTGATATATTGGATTCAGCGAGTGCAAATAAAGTGAATTATCGTAAAGTAATGGATGCTACATTATCATCTATGCAACAGTTACATGCTCCACAACATGTTGTTGATAAAGTACGCAGTTGGTTTATGTATAATTGGGATCAACAGAAAACATTTAGTACGTTTGAATATAGGACTTATTATTGAGTGTTCATTTTGATCGACTTTATTTTCTAAATACATAGCTTTCTTTATAGATAGCTTATATTGATTTGAACTGTTATTTTGTTCAAATGGGTTTATTCATCCATTGAAACGTTTTGTCTTGACAATAATTTCTCCATAATTCACTTTTTTCAATACTATTAGTACAGATATGGTAAGATAATAACGTTTTTGCAATGTACATTAAAAGAATTCAAATTATTGTCAAATGTATAGTAATATCTTAAGGATAAGCTTAATCATACGGGCAAATGTAATATTCATGAACTAGTTTCAGATTATGGAGTACCTGAGAAAATCGTCAACATCATACGCCATTCATACGACGGACTACACTGTAAAATGGTACATGGAGGACAGCTAACAGACGCATTCTAAGTGAGGACTTGAGTCAGACAAGGATGCTTACTCTACGCTTTTCTCTTCCTTCTGGTGGTTGATTGGATTATGAAGACCCCGGCACCTGACGGAAAGCAAGAATACAGTGGACAGCTTAAATGCAACCAAATGATTTGGACATTTCAGATGAGCTAGGTCCTCTTTACTATGCACACAAATAAATGCAGATTGTAACAAATGGTATAGCAGAAGCCTCTGAAGTAGTAGGCCTCAACGTACAGAAGGAAAAATGCAACACAGAGAACAGCAACCTAATCGCACTAGATTGAGAAACTCTGGAAGATGTGGAATATTTCAAGTATCTAGTCAGCTGCATCATTGATAAACAAGAATGATCTGATGCAGACGTAAAGGTAGGGATTGGCAAAGCAAGGGTCGCATTCCTACAGTTGAACAACATATGCAACTCAAAACAACTGTCAACTAATATCGACGTCAGAATCTTCAATACGAACATCAAGACAGTTCTGCTGTACAGAGCTGAGACTTGGAGAACTATCTCATTCATCATCAAACTGGTACACGTTTTTATACACAGTTGTCTACACAAGAAACTCAATATCTGTTGGCCGGATACCATCAACAACAACCTACTGTGGGAGAGAACAAGCCAGCTTCCAGCCAAGGAGGAAATTAGAAAAATACTTTGCAAGTGGGTAGGAAATACATTATGGAAATCGCTAAACAGCATCACGAGGCAAGCGCTAACTTGGAGTCCTGAAGAGAAAGGGAAAGAGGAAGACCAATAACACATTGTGTTTCGAATTGGAAGCAGACACCAAAAGAGTGAATAGCAACTGGAAAGAATTGGAAAGGAATGTCCATGACAGAGTTGAATGTAGAATGCTTGTGAACAGTCTATGCTCCTGCACGAGGGATAACAGGCGTTAGTAAGTAAGACACAGATTAATCAAACAAACTCAGGTAAAATTAATTACTATTTTATTAATGAGAGCATCCGTTAAGAAATTCGTTTATTGGGTAGTTTTAGGGCTACATAGGAAGAAAATAATTTTTGATAAACATTGCGAAGGAAATTTAGTACCGGATAAGAGCATTTAAATGTTAATACTAGAATCTTTTATCACTCTGTAAAAAGCTCTATAAAATGAAGTATTAATCTGGTATTTTGTTCATACATTTTTATACGTTAAAGGTATTTTTAACCACAAACTACGGGGAACTTAATAAATGTTTCATCCTAATTTGAGAGTTATAACATTTATTCACAAAATGAGCTGACTTTTTAAGGTTTCGGAGGGGGGAAATATGGTTTCAACTCTATTTGGTGTATAATATAGATTGATACATAGTCATTGTGATGACTGAGTTACTGATATACTTGTTAGTTAGTGGTTCCACTAGTTACGGTGTAGTGAAAGGGAATACAAGTGGGGATAATCGAATCTATTTGAATTGAAAATTACGGAACGTCTTAGCAAAGTCTGAGAACCATACAGTAAATACTTAATTTGCAAAATGCTAATTAATTGTCTCAAACTTGACTGTTTCTTCTGCAAATATCAGTCAATCGTCTTGGACTTCATCGCTTTTTCGCTTCCACACCAATGATTCTTCGTTTTCGTTCTGTTTTCTTTGACCTTCTCAGCCTGTCGCAAGACATTTCACATTCAATTGATGATACATACTACTTATATCAGTCGACATCAGTAGCACACATCATAACAGTAATTAACTTGTGGACTTCAACTAATTCATATTCACATCATCTATTGATGAATATTTATTTTCATTTTTAAAAACGAGGAAACATTTATAGTTGAAGTTAGGCGTTTATACTTTGGACAGTGGTTTAATAGTCTAGATGTTAAGCGTTCGCATATTAGACTGAAGGTCCCGGTTTCAATTCCCCGTAGCACAGCCGTGGATACAAGAAGTCTCACATTACAATGAAACTTCTGTCCAATACTTTCAAGATTTCAATGTTCTCTGGCTAAAATTAGCACATGATCTAACCTTTAAGGAATTATTCAATGATTGATAACGAATAATTTTCATCTATCTATATTATTAATCAATAATCGAATTCATTATAACTAAATTCATTCAAATTATCTCTGGTTCGGTTCATATTTATTTTATCATCTTTCAACTATAATATACACTAACCAATGATTAATAGATTTTACTTTAATTAAATTAATTCATTTTATGTTTATAGGTATCATTACCAAGGTTTGATTTGATAATTTCGAATAAATTGAGCATTGGGTTGATTGTTATAAATAAATAATATATTTGTATTATTATTTATTTATCATTTTATGTTTATTTATTTTATTATTAGATGAAAATTCATTATTTGAATGTTTACCAATAAAATTGAAAAGTGATTTAGCTATTAGTGTACATTTTCATACTTTAAGTAAGGTCACTTTATTTCAGGTGAGCTAAAATAATCTACGTAAACAGATTTTCTTTTTATCAGAAGAGGTTTTATGGAGATTGTAGTAATTCCAATGGTTGAGATCATGAATTGACTGAAGCTAGATCACCATAGAAAACCTGGATGATGGATGTGTCGCTCTATTTCGTGGATTAGTTGAAGTTAGTCATTAATACCGTTGGATGACGGTCAGCTCAGTAGTCTAGAAGTAAAGTGTTCGCGCGTGAGACTGATAGGTCCAGGGTTCGAATCTAGTGGGTAGGGATCGTTGAAGCGCACTGCTGAGGAGTCCCACATTGCGATGAAATGGCCATCCAGTGCTTCCAGGTTTTCCATGGTGATCTAGCTTCAATTGACTCATGATCTCAACTATTGAAATTTTCTTTTTGCATATATTATTTAGAAAATACTATGTAATGATAATATTATTGATGAATATGATAGATATGAAACGATGAGGTTTGAATATAAAGCTTGAGGTTATCCGTAACATTTTCGATGTTGCCTGAGCATACCTGAGAGTTAGAAGGCCTTCATTTAGAAAAGTTGTGACGCCTCATAGTGAAAGCCGAGTTCCTTCGGAAATCACGAGGCTGATATTCCTTTGTGACAACCAGAGCAACCATTAATTTAGGTACATGGAATACTCGTACAATGTCGAAGACCGGGAGAGTCGTCCAAATCGCTGCAGAAATGAAAAAGATAAAACCCGGCGGTGTTTTAAATCAATGAAACACATTGGACGCAGGTTGGACAACAAAGACTAGCTTCAGGGGAGCTGCTGTTTTACTGCGGCCATGAAGAAGAAAATCTTGTACTTAACACGTTTCAGATTTTTCCATTAACTTAGTGTATAAATGCTACATATTAAAATGTAGTTTTGGTTTAAAAAGTATTATTTCAATTGATTGCCATTATGAACTACTGAAAATTAAACAAGCGAATCATGACCTTGACTACACAGATTATTCGTCAATAAATGTACCATCATACACAGTTATATTAAATTAAACTTATTAAATGTGGACGAAGTTCTGATAAACTTCGTCTTCTCATTGCACTATCGAGATTTATCAAAGGGACTAATTGTTTTAAACCAGTATTATTATTTATTTCTTTATGAAAAATAGATATGTTTGATCTAAATTTTATTAATTTCTTTTATTTGGTAATTAGAAATAATAATCAGTGCTCATTGCTTCATTTATTTATGTGTTAAGGTTTTCCCTTTACCAAAATTTGTTTTATTTTACTCACCTCATTTAACCAATCACAATTAATTTACATATAACTTAATGAAGTAAACACTAATATATAAACGTACATTTTAGAATTGTGAAAAAGCTCTCATCTACGACATGATATTGAAATTGAAACCTGTCGTGTTTCTGCCCAAGGATTATATTTGTCGAAAGGTATGGTAAAGTATATATATATATATATATATATATATATATATATATATACATCATTTACAAAAGCGTCCTCCCAATAATATTATTTTGAAATACTGTAATATATAATATGAATAAATATTGTTAACTCTACTCATCAAAAGATAGTATTTCACCTTTTTTAATAGACAACGAGGATCAAGCTGTAGACATTTAGTATTTTGCGTGGAATCCAAAATTTATGACTTGTGAACGTATCTTTGATGAAAGGGTTTGTAGAGAATACCTGAATTCAATGAGTGAATTGCTTATGAATGGTGATTATTTTATGGTTTGTAGCGTTTATGTTTACGATCATTTCTGTAATTCACATATTATTCACGGAAGCAACCGTTATTGGTATAATTCCTCTTCCTGAAGTTGAAACAAAGTAGACAGAAAAGCTTATTTGAACGAGCAGCTCTAACCAAACAATCAGCAATGCCATAGCGAAAGATAAATCAATGATTGTATCTTAATGGACAAACCTGTATGTACATACAAATTTGTCGTCAAGCCTTCAAATAATCAACATTTAAGCCGTTTAGATAAGTAAATGCGTAGATTGTCACATACGTTTAACCATACATACTCATCTACGCCAGCGCAACGATATATAAAAGATATGTAGGTGAATTATTATGGATCAAAACAACACTATTTGACATATCGATTAAATCAAAGACTTATCTAATTTGAACACATACAAAGCTCTTTGTAGGCAAGCCTACTATATGTTTCATCATATATTGAAAATGACATGACGAAAGCAATATAGTTGAAAAAAATCATTATGATTCGTATTCTATCTGAAAAATACTTTCAACCAAATCATGTCACTGCTGTCACAACAAAAAACAAGCACTTTCGTGTTGTACAAATTCTCTAAAAATTCCTGAAATTATATCTTCATATTTCTCAAATCACAAGAGTATAACTTATCATCCTCGATGGTTTACACGATTGGGATGTAAACAGGGTGAGAACTTCGAGAAGTTATTGGTAAAATTTATATGTTGTATTTGTCGAGGTTGTGTTGAAAACTATAGAATGCTGGACAACTATGCGGTCTTAGTATGAGACTCGCCACCAGTGCACACCCATGACTCCACTATGGATAGAAACAAAAATCTTTAGGTTTCGTGGCAAAAGTTTCACCGTTAGAACTATCGTGTTACAATTACAACCTATGAATTAAACTATTCTTCACAAAACCCCCCTTAATTGAGCATTAATCTGTAGCTTCTTGTATTGTATGGAGCTTCAGGTTTTTTAATGTAACTTAAAAATAGAATATTTATTTTGAAAATCCAATTAATTTTTTTTTAAATATGAGTTTTAACAGAAACAATCAGCTAATATTAATAAGGTACGTGCGTACCTAACGATATCAGGAACTTTGAAAAATTACACAAGTTAACAATAACGGCAATCTTCAAAGTTGAATTTAAATTCATTATGAAATTTATATAAATGTAAACTTTATTAATGAGCCGATCAGAATCAAAAGTGCGAATTTCAGATATCATGTGTACCAATCAGTACTAAAACCGTTTATTCAAAATGTTTAAAATGATAATGGTAGTTGATTTTTTACAGCCACAGAGTGAAAAATATGGTGTTAAACTTACCAAATTCTTCATTATGTCTATTAAGATTGTAAATAATAGGTAAATCTACACTGTTCCAAATTCCTGATCCTTAATTCTGAAATTTACCCAAACTTAGTGGTGTTACAGTTTACTGATGAACTAATCAGATACAGTCTTTTACATTTTTAAGTGCGATTCATTTGTTCATAGCTGATGTCAGTTTGTGATGAAAACTCAAAATCAAAACTCACAAATCTAACTCCAACTAGGAACAATGGGTAACTCTTTGAAATCTGTTTGGGTCCATTTAACGATCCGAAAATACGGACAAACTATATCTATTAGGAAGAGTTTATATGTCATTTTTAGGGTTAACAGATGGAGTAACTTGTCAAAGACTATTATTTGAGCAAAATCTGTTTGAACTTTGAAATAATGTTTTTTTTCCATAAATTATCTACATCATATTAATTGTCAATAAGATTTCTATTCAGCCATCTCAATAGGTCAAACAAAGATATACTCATTATTCTTAAATTCACGCGAAGCTCTTTGTAACAGATGAAATACCGAATACACATATATCTGGTAAATAACTCTTCACAAACTTATACCACATTGACCAAAATACTACTTAAAGCTATAAAGCATTGTAAAGATATTTGATCTTCATCTAAATATCCATGATATATTATCAACAAATAAACGTAATCATAATATTTGTATTAAACTTGAACGTGTAACATTTACAATATCACTTAAAAATGAAAATTTGTTATATATTCGGCTTTTTTAGACCCAATATCAGATATAAATTTAGGTACATTCAGCTAATGAGCTCAAAATAGGAAAAAACTCGCGTCTTGGATTCCACTGCTAGCCACTATCCATCTTTGCTTATAAAGCTTGTGAATTAAGGCAATATCGAGTCAATCCACACAGGATGCACATATGCCAACAAGAGATTGATCAATTACAGTCCTAAACAACAATGGAAAGATACAAGCAAACAACACCAAGTGAATACAAAACACATGGTTAACCGAGTTATAAATTTATAAATTTATAATTAACCGGGTCGGTTGTGAGGTAGTAACTCACTGAATACACTGGTGGATGTGTTGCTCGATTTGGTGGATTAGTTGAAGCTACACATTAACACCGTTGGAAGTCAAGCGGTCACGCGCGAGACTGCCCGTTTTGGATTTAAAGCCCGCGTGGGGGACCGTGAGCACGCACAGCTGAAGAGTCTCATACTAGGACGAAATAGCCGTCCAGTGCTTCCAGGTTTTCAATGGTGGTCTAGCTTAGATTGACTCATGAACACAACTGTTAAACTATAAGTCTATTCTCTGACATTTTAATTCTAATAAATCATTTTTATCTGCTAGAAATAGTAAGAATGTATAAAGAATACTGACCGAACTATTTTTGTTCTGTAACTGAAGCTATTTGTTAAACATCTACCTACTTTAGGGTGAAGTCGGTAAAGAAATGTATATTGTAAAAAGTGGTGCAGTTGAAGTTGTTGGCGGTCCTAATAATTCCATTGTATTTGTTACACTTAAAGAAGGCAGTGTATTCGGTGAAATAAGGTATGTTACTTACTGAATATATTGATATTTTTGTTCTTTGAAGGTATAGTTAATGAGCATGTTAGCAGCACAAGTAATTTACGATTATTCTTTTCCGTAAACCTTCAATTTCATTCCTTTTCATGAAAATTAATAACTTGGCAGTTTAACTGCATTTGTATTATCCATTTTTAACACTAATACTGATAAAACGGATATTTAAAATATTTTCATCACTCTCAAATATATTGAGATATGTTAATACAATACTAAAGTGGTGTATGCTACGTATGATGACAGATATAAGTAATATGTAGCACCAATCGGAAGAGGAATGCCTGATAGCAGAAGATTAAAATGAAGAGAACAGGAAGAAAATCGGAGAGCAATCGAAATAGCAATACAATTAGAGGAATAATGAAGTATGTGAAGGACAATACAAAGATTTGAAAATGATGTATTAAGTGTATGATTTTCATATTTTATCATTAAACAACTATGATACACAAAATAGATGAAATCCAAGATTTTCGGACTTCCTGGTTAGTATGATTAGTGAGTTTTAATTCAGCACTATATACTTTTAGATCTTTTTATAAAATTGGGAGATCGCTCGGTACTCATTCATTAAAATAGATCAGTATTAGTCTTTAATCATCAACCAGTTGCCCATACGCGTTTAGTCATACAGATTTAATTGTCTTTCTGAATAACATCGTCGATGGAAACTTTAGATAAAAATGAGCTGGTATCAAAATATTTCATTCTAAGGAACTTTTCTGTGATTAGGTACCTTTGAAGGTTTTGTTATGTTCATACACTTTTATACTCTAGTATATTGAACAACTACGTTGATTTCTTACCATGTAACTGTTATACCTTCAGAAGGCTAATAGAACAGATCTATGTTAATATCAATAATGAACACAGATTGATATAAGTAGAAGCATCTGAAAACTGTATAGCATTCTGAAATTTTGTCAGTCAAATTTCTGTTTGTAATTATTTCTGTACATTGATGTAAGTGATGATATATTGTCTCTTTTAGCTGCTAATCTACATTCCTGAATATCATGATGTAAAAGACTTCTATTTTATCTACTACGACACTTCTTAGAGTTGGTTTAATTTATTTTGTAGGTGGTATTAAATTTATTTCCCCTGACTGTTAAGTTATTTAGTCAGCCTAAAAGGTAATAAATGACTGTATTGGCTTATGAGCAACAATAATTCGAAAATGTTTCACTATTTTCGTTACGATTTTTGAAGCGTTTTTCATATATGATATAGGGATCTGTTATCGGATTTTTGAAAATGATTTTAATATGGTCAGTCTACTTCCCTGACACCTTTTGACAAAGTTGCTGAGATATTCAAATATAAGATGCTCTTTATGTCCTTATAGCCGATTATAACTTTCAAATAAACCGTCCTACTCAAAAAAACACAACGCCATCACTAATCTGATGTTAGTTTTATCAGTTCTAATATTAGTAAGTATTATGTCATATGTTATTGTTAATGAACATTAATCGGAAAATAACTAAATAATACAGTTAGATGTTTATTAGATCTACTTCAAATCTAACGGCTTACCTTTAACCTGTCTAGTCGACCGTTTGATTTTTATATAAAAATGTCTTAACAAATACATTATGTGTGGTCAGATTGTTCGAAATGTATTGCGCAGATATATCACAAAATTCTGATAAACTTCGTCTTCTCATTACATTGTCTAAACTAACTAAAGTAGCCGATTGTTTAATCAATAAAAATCTAGGTTATTTCATTCTAAGCCAATCAGTAAGATTATATCAGAATAATAAATAAAGTTGGGTAAAACAATTAGCACTTAGCTCATTTTTAATGTAAAAATGTATTGCATAGTGGACATCGTTTTGACTTGTGCACACATGAACACAGACTACCAGTAAGAAGAGAATATTATATTTCATATATCAATTTATACAGACAACTATGAACAGAAAATCGACTGAGAAAGTGTTAAAATGCTAAGTTGAGAAGTATTCAAGAATGCCAGGGGGTTTCTAGAATTGTGGCGCTTAAGTCAACCTGGAATCACATATCGGTATATATATATATATATATATATATATATATACTACATGAAAGAGTTACTGATGATGTTATACAGAAAGACAATAGACGCTTCACAGTTAAACCATCCAGTTCAGAGAATACAATGAAACTAAAAATAATTAAAAAAACACGATTTTACATTCACTTATTACCTGGTAAATAACAAACATTCTGTAGTGAAACATATTCTTTTGCATCAATTATTACGAACTATTACCATTAATCAATACTGGTTAATATAAACAATGTCTTATTCTTCAAATAATAAACATGATCCAACTAGTCGATCAGAAGAACATTTATTATTATCTTACTTTAATATTGATTTGTTTTTTCTCAAAAAAAAACAATTTTTATTACCATCTTTTCTGTGTATCATTTTTATTCCTTTTTTCTCTTCAAATGTATTGTCAATTATTTTTTCCTTTCTTTAGTTTATTAGCTTTATCCGGTAAAAATAGAAGAACAGCTGATGTAAGATCAAAAGGTTTTTCTACGTTGTTTAGTTTATCAAAACAAGATTTTGAAGAAATAATGAAAAATTATCCACAAGCACATGAATTGTTGAAGAAACGATCTCAGTAAGCTGTATTTATTGGCATATATATATATATATATATATATATATATATATATATATATCAATTGTGACATAAAACAAGTGATCCAATGGAGATCTACCATTTCGACAAATCTGTACTTCTTTCAAAATGATCAGCAGTAATGAGTTTATTAATAAAATGTTATTTCTTTATAGCCTGATAATTTATATCTTGATTAAATCGCCATAAGAAACACCGATTTATATGAACAAACCGATGACTCATTGACTAGTATGAGTATCCTAGATTCAACTCTAAGTTCTTATTGGTTCTTCTATCCTAGCCCTTTCCGTTTAAGTTCAGAACACCAATATCAGGTATATCAAAAATACGCAGTTTATATAGAAGCAAATTAGATCACATCACATATAAAAAAGAAAATAACAATTATACAAGATCAGGCTGAAAGTGGATTTACGTGTTAGCTACTGTAACTAATAAATTGGCAATAAGTTTAGAGTAGTAAATTGTATAATAGTAGTCAATAGATCAAATGAAAGCTTATAATAAAAGGAATATGAATATACATATAATATAAATTCACTTGGTATCGTCTTACCTGAATCCTCCTATTGTTGTCTAGGACTGCAATTGATCAGTCTCTTGTTGGCATATGTGCATCCTGTGTGGATTGACTCGATATTGCCTTAATTCACAAGCTTTATAAGCAAAGATGGATAGTGGCTAGCAGTGGAATCCAAGACGCGAGTTTTTTCCTATTTTGAGCTCGTTAGCTGGAGTTGATGTTCACTCTAAGACTCGAACCCAATACGGGACTCAGTAGCTAAGTGAATGGCACTGGATTCGAGTCCAAGAGTGAACATCAACTCCGAGGTGCAGGTACATCCGGCTGAAAAGTCCAAAATAGGACGAAACGTGTGTCCTAAATTCCACTTCAAGTCGCTATCCATCTGTACATATAATATAATTACCTAATAAATACACAATAAGGATATATATAATAACAGTTCATGAATAGATCCTAGCAGTTACCATCTACTTATTATTCGTCTGGAGAACAATCTATTAAACATAACGACAGGGGATGGTAATGAATAAAATAATAAAGAATGTTATTTTTCCTGAGAAAATGATCATATAATTTTTAAGACTAGGAATATTTATCAAGAAAGTCACATAAGTCAGATGAAGATAAATAATTTTAAAAAACAGTTGCGTAACATAAGATTGTGAAAGCAGTTGTAATCAGAAAGGACATGGAAACATAAACAAGTCAGTAAAGAAGTGGAGGTAGAGGGAATGGAATGAGGAAACTAGAAGTAACGAACATGAAAAGAGAATCGGGTAAAAATACCTCTGTATGTTTTTGTATGGATAGTTCTGGCTTCTGTAAATGTATGTTGAACGATTCGGCAATTTTAAAGGGGCGGTAACTCACTGCCTTGGATAGATTTCTAACTACCCTACAAATGACTTTAAACGGCCAGTACGTTTTGATGAAATGATCTTTGTTCAAAATGTATTGGATTACCAAGTGTTATTTAGTTTTATAATTATAGGTAAATATTTCTATTTTGTACATAGACGAATGCTTAGTCGAGACAAGAAAAAAGCAACTGATGAGGCAGTTAAAGAAAAGAAGAAACTTCAGAAAGAAAAGAGTTGTGAATTAAATTATAGGGATGACGCAGTTATAGAAGTTATTCCTGAAAGACCTGCCACACCAAAACTCATTGAAACAGTCGTAAAGGTAAATTGGAACCCTGATTAAACTGTTAGTTTCTTCCTTTTTCATCAAATCGTTTGACTGTATAGATAATTCTAAAGGAATATGATTGGTGGAGCAGTGTGACGAAAATTACCAAGATATTCCAATATTAAACCATTGATTGTTTTGCAAGCGCCTTCCAAAAATCACATAGGGTAACATTAGAAATCGCGTTTAAAAAGCGCTTGCTTTATACATCCAATGTAACCTGCTCTATAAGAGCAAGTAAACTTATAAATACACATTATTTTGGCTCAATGTGGAATTTTATCGTTGATACACCCACAAAGGATAAGGCTGCTGGAGAAGACAATGCCAATCCAAATTGCGTAAAAAGTCTTCCTCAAAGATTTCGTTGAACTGTTTCTCAAAAGTCTTACAACCATATTTCCCTTAAGTACAATGTTCATGAAGGGAGTTTTATAAGAACTGTAGGAAATCTCACAGACTGCAGTTTCAGTTTCATTTTTCTCTGAACGGACCTTGATGAATAGCCGTTTTTGGTAAATATTTGTTAGCTCCGGGAATGTTTTTCACGGTTGTCAAGGTTGTTATTGTGGTGTAAATACTCTTACCAGTTTCTTTTATTTGTTCATAATTTACTGGAACTTACCGGATTTTGTATTGTGTTCAAATAATCAATATATACATACATGCTACAGTAACATTTTTATGTTTATATTTTTAGGTTATTGAATCTACTTATCCAGATAAAATAATAGCTAGACGACTGAAGGGTAGTTTTTCAAGTGAATTTGGAACAAGACGTAGATCTATTTATACAGTCAAACCAGGTGTTAACATGGTCACGAATAAAATGTCTTCAGTTTCTAATACGAATGACGATAATACAATTAATTATAATCAGAAGGTAAACTTATATTTCTTTCTGTCGATATGAAGTTATTTTAATGAAAGTACATGTTATGAATCTTCTAATATGAAAAGAATCACTTAGACAATGGTTAAACACCGATTGTGGACGGTGATACAGAGTTCAATGGTCTGTATTTTCAGCTTCAGTCAGTTAATCCAGTAAATGGCTATCTCAACTATCCTACAACCCACCCATTCAATTTCATACTGTATATGTTATATCAGTTTAAATTTAACTGACTGAACTAATAAATAGGATCCATATGACTATGATTAAGGAGAACTATTCTTATCAAAGTTGGGCTATGAAAATTGTTGATTTGTATAGTTTACGTCACGGACTGAACTTGATTAAAAAGACAAATGGAGTTAAGAGATTACGCAATAATAACATAAAATCAAAATGATTATAAAATGATATTTCCACAGTTGAAATATCGAGTCTATATAAGCTAGACTTCCATTGAAAACTTATTACTTACGCCTGTTACCACTCGTAGAGAAGCATAGGAAGCCCAACACCATTCTATATCCAACTCTGTCTTCAGCAATTCTTTCCAGTTGTTTCCTGTTACTATTCATCCTTTTCATGTCTGCCTCCAATTTCCGACATAGTGTGTTCTTCGGCCTTTCTCTTTTCCGTTTCCCTTCATGATTCCAAGCTAGCGCTTGCTTAGTGATTCAGTTCGATGATTTCTACAATATATAGATCGATAGACCTCTTATCCTTATTACTGAAGATTGAATATTTCTTATCCACTTCCATCATATTCCTCTAATTTCCTCTTCAGTTGAAAGCTGGTTTGATCCCTCCCACAGTAGTCTGTTGCTGAAGGTATCAGACCGATAGACATTGAGTAACTTTGGTAGACATATCTGTATAGTTTTGATGATGGTTGTGGTAGTTCTCCAAGTTTCAAATCCGTATAGTAGAACTGTTTTGACGTTCGCGTTGAAGATTGTGGCTTTAATATTGGTTGACAAATTATTTGAGTTCTATATATTCTCCAACAATAGGAATACGGCCGTTACTTTGCCAATCCACATTCTCATATCGCTACATCAGATCCTTCTTGTATATAGATGATGCCGTGCAGGTACGTGAAAGATTCCGAATCTTTCAGAGTTTCTCCATTAATTGGGACTGAGTTGGTGTTCTTCATGTTGTAATCGAGGATCTTGATTTTTCCCTTGTGTATGTTGAGGCTTAATAATGCAGGGGTTTGTACTACACCGTTGTCCTGAACTGCATTTGTTTCTGTGTATGAGATAGAAGGGCTAGGTCATCTGTGAAGTCCAAATCGTCTATCCACATGCAAACTGTCAATTGTGTTCCGTGATTTCTGTCAGATGTCGAAGTCTTCATTATATATATAAACAAAACCAAATTCACTGAAAACTTAAACATTCATTTCGTATGATAACAAAATTTACAACAAGGCAAATGGTCCGAATTTTTTAAACAGATTATTGTCTGGTTTAACTTAAAAAATAGTATAACATTTCTGTTAGAGTAACAACCCCGAGACAGAATTTCTTGGAAAATAACACCGTCACGTATATTAAAGTGAAAATAAAAAACTAAGACGCGTATCTTCCGGCAAAATCAGTGGGATAAAATCAGTAGGTATAAAAAAAGAGATAGAATTAGGGTCAGGAGGATAAAAACCAGGGGAGGATGAAAAAGTAAAGAAGAAACAAGCAGTAACAACGAAACTGACGACTAAAACAAAAGTACACAAAAGTATAAGGAACATTACCACTAAAACCACTCCAGAGATCAACACATGAAGTTGTAATTTAAGGACTTACAAATTAGCTTATTGTTTTGCTCTTCCAACATTAATGTTAAAAAGAGTGGGGTTCTCCTTTTGATGATCATCATGGAAATACATTTTTCAAAATTAATACATTGATAATGTCTCTAGTCCAAATATAAACCGAAATAATAATAATAATATGAAAAACATGATTGATTTTTTCAAAAGTAGTTGCTTATTATTATCTCACTTATGAATTATGCAGTTGATTTAAGTAGTATAATCAAAGGTGCAAAAAAAGTTTAAATGATTGATTTATGTGATAAAATAATGAGAATAACCAATAGATATCTGCTAAATAGTCTGCTTATGCTTTCAGATGATACTAAATTTATAAAAAATGTCTACCGACGACAATCAAATTGTTCCAACATTTCGTTACGTGCACTGGTTTGAGCGTCTTCTTCTGGGTTCATAATCAGTATCACGATTTGTTCGTATGTTGAAGAAACAGTTTATATGGTTTATATATGTTGTGAGCCATAATTAAATCTAATTTATAATACAAAATTAGATTAGCTTCAAGACAAGTGAATTCTTAATCATAATAAATCAAAAAGCATTTAGGGTTAGGAGTTCAGTTTAGGGATTAGTGTCAGAAGTTAAGGTTAAGGTGAAGGGATGCTTTACAACCAAGATAATGAATACTTAATCGGATAATTTACTGAATTCAAATTTCAAAAACTTTTATGTTACCTTGAAAAAATGTTGAAATATTACGCAAATTTTTAATTTTGTTTATTTTCTAATATTTTTTCCATGTAAAATTCATCACTTTCTTATGGTTATTTTAAGAATCTCTTTAGTTGATCCCTATTCTTTATTATTGCAATGTTTAGTAAGTTTAAATGTCTTAGGAACTAAATATTGGTAGATTTTACTAAACGATACGATTGTTTTGTTATCACTTTAGAAAATAAACCAAAAAACCAACATTTTTTTTAAACAGATTGCTTCAGTAGTATAGTTTACTTCTGTCCAATTTATAATTAAACATGTAATCAGTTGGTTAAATTGTAGTATTGTTTGTCTGGTAGACTCGTTCAATAATTCTAGACACTTAACAAATATTACTTATGATCGATAAATAATCATTTGATTACAACTGTAGAAGATCTCTTTGTTCATTTAGAACTCGTCTGATGAGACTAAAATTTATGAGTAATGTTTCAGTGATTCCCAAAGTGATTTAGTTAGTTATCAACTTTTTATTAGGTTTGAAATAGGATTAGAAATTAGGGTCAAAAGTTAACAGGGTTAATAATTAGGGTTAGAGATTTGATCCCGAACTGATATCAGTTATAATTCAAGAATACTCTGTAACCATACGCATTAAAGAATCTTGAGTAGAAATCTAATAGGAGATATTTTATTCAGAAATTACATTTCAGTCATTCGTCTTTATGATTAATAAGTAAATCAGAAAGTATCCACATTGACTTTAGTTATATGAGCATTGAAATCCAGCAGGCACTATGCAGATGTTCAGTCATGTCAGAGATAAAACAAATATGGCCACTCACAATGGATGATGGATGTGTAATATAGTGAGTGAATTGGTGTTAAAAATGTAGACTACTGTTGATCAACTCACTGAAAACCAAATAGTACCAGTTTTCTCTTTTGACATCCTTCAATAATCTATGACTATCACTCTATTTATTTATTTATTTATTTGAACACATTAATATTGGTACAAGAGGGCACCAAATATATATGCGCCACACAAAACAATGAGAATTTAAAAAGAAAGGAAAAAAGAAAGGAGGGTAAGGGGCGTAAAAAGAACAATAACGAACAGATCAGTGTAGGGTAGTGTAATAGTAATAATAATGGGGGGAAACGAAAAGGTACAATCAGGAGAAATCTTTCCGTTAAGGAAGAAACAACCACTCTTTACGAAGAAAGTAAGAAAAGGTTACAGCAGGATCGCCACTGGCTTCTATTCTGAGCCATATTCAATAACGTCTCTAGCCACTGTGTTGCACCATCTCTCGGACCCCAGCCAGGGAGTCGTGAAGGACCAACACAAGCCAGCTCTTTGCAGCTTTCTTTCATACCACGACACCATGTCATACACCGGCCACCTCTCCACGTTTTCCAACCAGTCCCAGAGTCGGCAAATAATGCACGACGAGGAATTTTCTGGGATGACATTCGTAGAACGTGTCCAAGCCACCGAAGTCGGTGTTTCAAGATGGTGACACCAATTGCATTATCGTCTCCGTGCCCGAACACACGATGCCGAACCTCTGTATTACTAACATGGTGTTGCCACTAAATGTCAGCAATCCTTTGGAGACAGCGATGATCGAACACAGAGAGTCGTCTAACATTCTCAGCTCGGAGAGGCCAGGTTTCACAAGCATAGAGCAAAACTGCTCTCACCGACGCGTTGTAGATCCGACCTTTTACAGCCAGACTAACATCACTAAGGCGCCAAAGATGGCCCAGATTGGCATAAGCTGCTCTGACTTTCACTATACGTGCATTGATCTCATCACTCACGCCACCACCAGCACTTATGCAGCTACCTAGATACACGAACTTCTATCTGCTCACCACTCAGGGTGAGTACAGGATTAGGATCCTGCCAGTCTTGTAGAAGTACTTTGCACTTCGAAGGTGCAAAGCACACACCATACCTACGGACACTGATTGCCGAATGATGAAGTGCGGATTGCATGGCTTGGGCATTCTCGCACAGTAAGACAATATCATCCGCATACTCAAGGTCGAGAAGTCTCTCTCCAGGCAACAGATCCACACCACCATTACTTACATCCGTCAGAGCTGTTTCCAGAATGTCATCGATGGCAAAGTTGAAGAGGAATGGTGAGATTGAGCAACCCTGCCTAACTCCACTGCTCGAATGGAATAATGGAGAAAGGTGGTTGTATGCCCTCACTCTGCCTGAGGTGTTTGTGTATAGGGCCTTTAGGATGTTAATAAGCTTCTCAGGCACACCCTTCTTCAATAGGCAATCCCAGAGAATAGTTCTGTCTAACGAATCGAAGGCAACCATGATGTCAAGAACCACTACGATTGTTGGCCTTTGATAAGTATGGCGGTGTTCTAACACTTGGCGGAGGGTGAAGATATGATCAATACATCCTCGACCAGAACGAAACCCAGCCTGCTCCTCGCGAATCAATCTTTCTCGGGTTTTGAACAA